AATACTTCCCAGCCGCCTCCTTAGGCTTTTAAGTTTTTTGAGGCGTCGTGAAAGTTTCCATCTAACCCAGTAAAGTTTACACTTTTTGCGAAGGATCTGAGGACAGTCCAGTTTTGTCGGGACCACGGACCACTGAGTTTTTTTTGCACGATGGGTTTCGTTATTGGGTCCATCCCCGGAACCATAGCCCCCCTGCTTTCCTGATCAAGGTAGTGTCATGCAACGGTCCGTTGTTTTTATGTCAAGGCCCCCCCAAACGTTCGCCGAGGGAGGGAGGGTTTTCCATAATTAGGTCCCAACCCGCCCAACCTCATCCTGCTTTTCTGCCTCAGGCCTTAGGTAGAGAGGCCAAGGAAGGGGTGGAGTTCCGGCCTGTTTCGGGGACGATTTGTTGGAGTCGAGTCAGCGCCCGGTTCCTTGAGTTTTGGCGAGCGCTCTACGAATTGGATATATGTCAAATAGGGGATCCCCTCAAATGGCTGCTTTCCGTTGGTTCTTTGTCTACGCCCCCAACAGTGGAACCCTCAAGCAACACAAGCACAAACACAAACACAAACACCAGCCAGAAAGGAATGGACCCATGAGCTTGTAAACGAAACCCACAGAGCGCAACAAAACCCAACAAAAAATTAGCCGGGCCATAAGCTTCGATATCTCCCTGCGCCAGTTGCTCTGCGCGAGCTGCTCTATGCAAGTTTCCTTGAGCAAGTTGCTGCGCGCAAGTCGCTGTGTGCAAGTTGCTCTGCGCGCAGCCAGTCTAGATTTCACGAAGCAGATTCTTTTCCTATAAGCGTATTTTTTTCTTCTAGAAACTTCCGTCATCCCGCTTCGGTGGGGCACACATGGTGCCAAGACAATCCCCGATGAGGTTGTGAAGAGAAAGCCCATGTTGGCATCACAGAAAGTCTGGCTCTGGGGGCTGAAGGCTTGCCATCTGCAGCCTGCCATCCTCGGCGCCGCTGCTTGAGGCGCGCCCTGAACTTCGTTCTGCGAGTCAAACGTGCGCTGACCAAGCGGGGCGCATCTTGCTTTTGGTTGAAGAGCGCACTTCCTAACATAACCTACACCTACCTCCCTGCCTCTGCCTACAGGGAGGGAAACCTGTCCAGGCTGATTGAGAACTGGCTGAGACCTTATTGAGACCCCTTCTAAGACCCCTTCTAAGACCGTGGGAAAGGGGCCCCCTAGGGGCGAGGGAGTCCTGATAGCCATGTAATCAGGGGGGGGGGGGGGTCCCAAATGTACCTAGTTACATTTTTCGGGTTGTTTTTGGTGGGCGCCAGTCTGCGCCTAAGCCATGTATATATATATATATATAGTGTGTGTATATTAGCTCAGACGCTTGCGCATATGCGTATATATATATATATATATACATATACATACATATATATATATATACAGGATTGCTTGCGAAACAAGCGGACACAAGCAGTGGAGTTTCCATTGCTTTTCCGGCATGGTATGGCCAAACCCCTCCCTGGACCCCTTAAAACATGTAACTGCCAGGGTCCCCCCCCCGTACATAAGACACCCTAGCTTAGGGGTGGCTCATAACTCAACCTCAGTTCTTCCGGGGCTGGTTCCCTATAGTTAGACTTCGGTTAGGTTTGGCCAAGCCTACGTTTGGTGCTTAGGGGATAACTTGTTTGCAGAGACTTGAGGTTCTGCCTGATTTTTGCGTGATTCTACCATTAGTTAGCACGGGTTCCCTTCGAGGAGCCCCTTGGAGTCGAAATATGACGAAAACGCGCCGTGCGGTGCCCGGCTTTTGAATTGCTTTGACAAGCGAAAAAGAGACTTACGTGTGCCACCTACGTCTATTTACCATTCACCAAGTTAGTTCCCACTTGGCAAGACTTGGCGATGCTACGTACCCTCCACACATGATGGTATCCTACTCTGATTGGAAACCCTACGCAAAAAACTGTTGGGGTGAACCACTGGCATACTTGGGCTGCTTGGGCCTAACCAGGTGGACTTCTCTCGGACTACAGGTGGCCTTCGTGCTGGAATTTGGAGCCGCGCCCAAGCTGCGCCTGTACGAGCGGACTTCGGTGCTCCCGAGGTTGAGACAAGAGAGCCGGGGGAGGGGCCCACGAAGGGGCCTATTTTGCACGAAAGCTGTTTATAATGGGGATAAGTCATGGCACGTACGACATGGACAATGCGTCGGCCCCGAACTGGTTGGACTTGCTGCTTTGTCGATGGCCAGTCATTGTTTCGTGGAGATTCCTCTCGTGAGGATATCGTGCTGTGTGCATTCATCATTGAAGGACCTATCAAACTAGCCACCCCCTAAGTGGTGGGCTGAGGGAAGGCCACCCCAGGTTCTGACTTTGATAACCCTTAGAAACAGTCAAAGTAATGACCCCAGTCAAAGGACCCCGTAGTTACCCGATGAAAGCTAGGGACATCTAGGGACCCATAGTGAGCGGCTGCATAACTAACAGACTGAGGCGTCAAGCCCGGGGTTGGACAAGCGTTTACTGTATATGTGCATCACGTGTATGTGTGTGTGTGTGTGCGCATGTGTATGTGTATGTCTACATAGCTATACACATACACATAGATATAATACGTAAGCTTTGGCAATTTATATGTTGACCTCACCATGGTTTTGGTTTGCGACCTCGTGACTGAAGGTTCCTTCCATCGGTCGATGGCCGGTCATCCATCGACGAAAGCTATTTATGGGGCTAAGTCAGGACATGTGCGAAATCAGTAATGAGTCGGCCCCGAACTGGCTAAACTTGCCGCTTTGTTGATGGCCGGTCGTCCGTCGACAACACCCGTCAACTGGATGTGCCCGAGAACAGTTTCCAGCTGCTTTACTGGGCTTGCCGCCGTGTCGATGGGAGTTTGTTTGTCGGAGCCAGAGGAAAACCACTCGTTTGTCCTTCTTTCGCCACCGCAGGGTTCCCGACACTTCTGCACCCACCGGCCCCCCCCCCCCCCCCAGATATTCGCCTTGAGTTGCTGGCCGTTGAGACTCTGTTTGAGACCTTGTTGAGAGCTGCTGGCAAGTGGCTTCGCAGGTGCCTTTGCGACAATTTGTGCGTCCTGAGCAGTGCTCTCAGCCCGAGTGCGAGAATCTGCTAGTAGTGATAGCAGTCGGTATCGACTGATGGCAAAGCGTTGGGTCTGTGTGCAATTCGGCCTTTGGGAAGGTGCCAGCCGAAAGCCCTGCCAACTCCACTGCTCCGAATCATGAGGCCTTCCAGACTTCAAGTTCTGAAACTGGCTACTCCAAATGCCCTCCACCCCCCCCAGGCCTTGATTCTGGCGGGCGTGCATTTGAGGTCAATGCTGCTGGTCCGGATGTTGGCGGGCTAGCGAAGAAAAAATGCATCTGCCGCGATTCTATGTTATCATTTGCTGTGCCTGGCAAGAATAATTGCCCTGATTTTCCTCGACCATTAAATAAAAGTGCCAGAGGCAACGCCTATTTTTGTTGGTTCTGGCTTGGCCGACTTCAGGAGGGGCCCTCAGGGTGCGCGTTTTCAAAAGGGCTTTGGAAGATTTACAAAATCTGTTATACACTAATTGTGGCAGAAGCCATGAACAAACCCTATGCAAACCACACAATCAAGGAAGCCAGGGGCAACTCAAAGATAGAGTGGGCCCAGATCCTCATGGGTGTGCATGTGCTATCGACAGGAGCAAGCCATGCTGATCAAAAGGTTGAGCGACACTTTTTTGGGAACTCCGGTGGGCCGTTGACAAGCCGTAGACAACCCGTAAAGCGGACATGAATTGCCATGTGACGGACATTTGTTGGGTGCACCTTTGGTTGCATCGATTGTTGTGGATGTGCTTTGCAGCCGTTGTTTCGCACTTGTTTTTGGTCCGCAGTCGGCCGCTAGTGCAAAAGGTAAAGTGACAGATTATAAAGGCACGAGGTTAGTATACGTGCATCAAGCGGGAGCTGCCCTACTGATACAGTTGTTGCAATGGTATACGAAGCATGCTACATAAATATACATAAATGATCATAAAAGTGCTTTGCTCAGCCAATTGTGGCCGACATTTGGATTGAAAATGATGAAGCATGACAACCCTTCCCAAGCCATCAAGAAATAGCCTTTTCCCAAGAAGTGTACTTTGCTATCTCGGCCATTTAAGTAACGGACTTTGGAAGTCTATGCCTAAAGTGAAGGAAGCTAAGGAGTTCGTCTTCCCCGCAAACTGCTGGGCACCCCTCAAAATATTGGCGAGCCCGGCCCCCCCCCATTTTATAATGAGGCTGGGCCCCCCTCATTTCATTGCGGTTGCACCGGGAGCTCGTACGACAATTAAATGGGGTAAGGCTAGCGCAGGGCCCCCCCATTTTATAATGAAACCAAGCCTGGCCCCCCCCCAATTTATTTTGATTTTAAAATAAAATGAGGGGCCCAGGCGCACCTTGCACATCGACCGTCTATCTTAATTTCGGGGCCCGCTGTGTGACATGTGTGTGTGTGCTTAACGCCCGTGAAGCTTTGGGAAACTGACCGTTTATGTTACTTTTTGAGGGGTCATTTCCACCAATCCAAATGTATGTTGCATTTTGAGGTGCCATATTGAGAAGGCCTTTGGTTATGAACCTATTCCTCCTGTGACTTTGATTTTCAGCATCCATTGAATTCCACAAGGACGCGTAGCTTAGCTCCCAGGAAAAACGCAACAGCCAAGCCCACCCAACGTGTGAAGGGGGGCGTTCTCTCAGTGAAGTTTGTTCATGCATTTCGGGTGCTAAGTGGTGACGGGCAACACCAGGGCAGATGGCAAGTAGGGAAGAGTCCCAACCATGGTGCAGCCTCGTGGGGCACTTTGAAGCCAACTTCAGTCTCATAAAAGTAGAGGAGTACGTGAGATGATTCTGCGGATTTGGCGAGCTCACAAGGTAAGGCGACCTTGATGTAGGTCCTTTACTTGGCGTTTTGTGTTTGATTTGTGAGCAGTCATTTACCCCGACACTTTTTAGCCCCTTGTGGGTGCCTGGCAAGTCCTTCTGCCAGGACAAGGATGTAGAGGCCCAGGAGCGCGTATTCGCTAGCGCCGCGCGGGTGACTTGCGACAAAAACATGTTCTGAACTTGTGTGTAATGCTTAACCAAAGGCGGAGTAAAGCCAAATTTCTATGTTGCACTTGTACGTTCTAGTTGCCGCCACGTGTTCAAGTCTAAGCGCCTATTGTTAGGTTATTTGGGCAAGAGAGTCACTGCCACTGCCGTCTTCTTGCGCAACATGAGATTCAGAATGCTCATCTCGCCAGCGCTTTGCAGTGGCTCTTTGGCCGCTGCTCCTGAAAGATGAACTCAGAAGGGTAGAAAGTTTATCCCATGCCCAGAGGCCAAATATGGGTCCTATAAGAGCATTCCTTTAGGACTTGGCATAGACGGGTGGGTTGTCCTGCGTCGCAGTGCTTTGATCAGAGACCAGATGCCTCGTTCTGGTAGACAAGCTGTTTCAGCAAGTGCGGTGAGTGCAGTCCAGCGCAGCTTCCCCCGGCGCCGGAGTCCTTGCTGCCATGCTGCCGTATAATTTGCAAATGTGGTACAAAGACTTGGGCGCGGTTTAGTTCTACCATGAGCTGAGCTTGATTGAAAACGCAATGCCAGTGAGTGGAGCTGACATGCATTCATTTGCGTTCAGGCTTGTTTCTCGAGTCAAGCCCGTGCATGCCCATGTCGTGGACCAAGCTTGAAACGTTGTTTGGGGGGATCCATGAGCCCGTGCTGAGCCCCGTTTGCTGCTGTAAGAAAACGGGGTAATCGGTGAACCCCGAGAAGTTACCACTGGCCGACCAACCTCAGCTGGAACTCAGAAGCTGCGCAAACCCCGACGGCCATCTACGGCACAGAGTTAGGTGCTCACGTGGTACCAGTGCATCGGTTGTTTGGTTTTTTGGCTTCTTTCAAAAGGCTAGCCGCGAGGCCCAAGACAAGCCTTGCGAATGTTGGTGGAGCCAAAGATTGAATGCTTCCATTTGCCGGTAGTCCTTTAGTCCGTTTGTTGCAAAGGAAGACGTGGGCCTTGGCCTGGCAGCTTGAACATTCACAAGGGTTATTTGGATCCTGGGTGACATTTCGGGTGGCCAAATGGCTCCCCAAATGAACGTGCCAACATGCAACCAAACACGAACCATGCGGAGGGTTCTGTCACATGGATGTTTCTCTAAATAGTCAATGAGCAACATGTCTTTCACATGGAGATTTCGCTGAAGTCGTATGCCAGTTTTCTTGGATGGGTGGCCAGGAGCGCGCGGAAGGCTTTGCGCAGCTCCGCTCGGCCTTGGAGGAGCCGGGCCGGTGGGGATCCGTCTTGGCGACGGTGCGTCCAGGTCGAAAAGTCGGGGGAGGGAGCAATTCCAGGGGTTTAGTCGTGCTGTTTTGGGTTGTTTTGCCAAACCCAGAACAATGGGATTAAGCAGGGGGTGCAAGGTGAAAATCCCATTCCGCAGTGTCAAGTCCACAATCAAGTAGTGTGTTCCTGGGCTCCCACTGTTTCTGTGGCCTGGCACCTGCTCTTCTGTTGGGGTGGGTTTTGAGGACAGTTGAGGATGACTTCAAGCGAGCGTGTGAGCAGGGCTCATGACATTTATGTGAGCGGATGCAAGTTCTGAGCATTGACTTACGGGAGACTCCTTGACAAAGAGAGAGGGGTCCGGAGGGGAGAACCGAGGCCGCTTTGGCGGGTCGTGTAAGTCAAATGCCTACGTGTCCAGGCAAGGCGGAGGACCAAGCCTAGCTCCCCATATCGTCCCATATGGATGGCCTTTCAAAACGGTGCAACATGCGCGCATGCCTGCTTGCTGCTTGGAAAAGGGCCAGGAAAACCAGTTTGGGTTTCTTCGCGTGTTAGGCAGTCTGCCTTTTATCGGCTGTCGGAGTCCTGCAGTCAGGTATTTTGTTTGTTTGCTGGTGTAGCTGAAGAGCCAAGAGGAACAGCACAGTGAAATTTTTGGATGTTTAGGCAAAGGGCCTTGGGGTCCTTGCCCCGGTGGATTCTTCACCAGCGCTGTTCAGTTGCCAAACTTATGTTTTGTGGGTAGATGTTTGCATCGCAGCAAAAATCCGTGAATATCCAACCTTTGGCCAGCTATTAACTCTACTGCTATTGGGTTGGATCTTTAGGCTTTAACTTTTTGGATTCCTCTCATATTTCCTTTTTGAGCAGCAAGAAGTTTAACTTTTTGCTGGGGGATCTACAGCACCCAAGTTAATCCAGGTCAGAGAGGTTTGGCGAGGCCCATCACCCGAAGCAGGAGACCATCCTGGAGCTTCTGCGCCAGGGTCGTACCAGCCGGGACCATCGAGGCTGGAGACTCCGGATGACTATGATTTGGGAGTTTGGCGTTTGTGCAATAAGAAGCCAACCAGAAGGAAGGGCACCCCCACATTTGGCACATTGGGTTGCTTGAGTTCTGGACCAAAGGGGCCCTAAGCTTCGTGGAAAGGGCTCTGGCGGGGCAGAACCGACTTGCAGGCAGTGGAGGCTATGTGCTCGTGGAGGACAGTGCAACTTGCTTTTCTGGCTTGGCCTGAGGCGCGCCTTCTGGAAAAGGCTTGGATGCTTCCTGTGCTGTGTTTGGTCCCAAGCCAGGAGACTGGGTGCTTTCGCATGCTGGGCTGCCGGGGCGGAAATTCCGTCCTTTTGCCTCCAAAGCATAACACCTGTGCACATTTGAATGTCCGCCAAACTTTTTCACAAGATACCGAGATGGGCCCAAACTCCCCAAACCCATTCCTTCGAAATTGTTGAATGCTGCCAGGGTTGCTTCTTTTGGGCATTGCAATGGGTCCCTCGGTACCTTCTCAGGATGCACTCGAGGGGCCGGCAGGGGCTTAAAATACATCCTCACACGGCGCCAAAGGACCCTTAGCCTTAGCACAAGGAGCGGGCCTGTATTATCCGAAAGGAACCCATTACCCATTTGTTAGAACGCATTCAACGGGTCACCCAACTTAGACCCAGCGTTTGTGTTCAGCCAGGACGTCGCTTGCACGCCTCGAGTGTACAAACTCTGGAAGAAGCTGCGCCGTGACCCGACGGACCGGCTGGCCTTCTACCTGCGGCATGAGGAGGCAGGTTTGCAAGGGCGAGCTAAGCATCAGTGTTCAGTAGCAAGCATGATGAAGCTGTCCAATTTTTAAGCAACACCCTTTTTTGGCCATCAATAGTGTTTGTTGAATCAAACCCTGCCGAGTAAAAGGGCACGGGATGAATCCTACCAAGGGAAAGACTACACAGCGTACATGTTCCATTTCTTGGCCTGTTGGAGTGGGGTGGGGCGGGCCACTGGGATCATCTGGAATCCGCCTTGTGCAACAAAGCTGGAGTGCGGCAGGATTTTTGTTGCCCCGTTGGGTAGTTGTTTTTCACCCCAAGTCTCACTGGCTAGTTGCGTTGCTTTTGCATGTACGCCCATTGCACACGTACGCCCACAGCATGACCATTGGGGCCGTCATTATGAGATAGCCGATCATTTTCGTAGTAATTTGTCCACATGCCAGCCATAGCCAGGAATCGCAAGGCCCGTCAACCAGTTGCAAGTCCTAGCTGGACAACAGCCAGCACACCGGTTCCCAAATCAGGCAAGTGACAGCTGTGTTGCTCAATCTTAGGTTTTCAATTCGTATCGACTTGTGGGATGCTCGTGCCGCTGGGTACCTTCTGGTGTTATGTGTGTAAATAAGGATGGAGGGAGCTTTGCCGGCTGCCGGCTGCTCATCGTAGGCCTTCGAGGTTTGGAGTCCTGGGAAGGACGGCGAGGCAGCTTCTGAGATGCAGTTGGGCGTCGGTCGCGAGTAGTCATGGCACTAGATTCATAGATGGGCCCCAAAATTTTAACAGTAGATGGTTGTCTTCCGTTTCCCGAAATCATCCAAGCAAAGGTCCTTACTTGCGAGATCCGGAGATTTTGGTGGGGTCATAGCTCCTGGAGTCTGGAGATCAACGACAGGTTTGCTGAAATGGTTACTGGGACTGTTGGGGAAGGAATGTGTGGGAACAAGCTGTGGTGTGTGTGTGTGTGTGTGCTTTTTTGTGTGCGATCAAGCATTTGGAAGAGGCAATTCCAACTTCTGCAAATCTAGTTATATCTAGCTAAAGAAGCCTGGTAACACTGCCTCGATGGGGAAATATGCACTTGTGAACGCAGAGGCAATCGAAGCTAAGAGCGGCATATTCCTCTTTCTGGCTCTAGTTGCGCAAGAAAGTTTGTCAATTGGACGGAGCGAGGTCTACATCATTTCCCGCCGAACTTACAACATGCTTGATTTTCCTGGGGACAGTTGACCCAAACTCGTTCACCCCTGGCCTGTGTGCGTGTGTGGGCTGCACATGAGTGAGTGAGTCAGTGAGTGGGTGGGTGAGCGAGTGGGTGGGTGGGTGGGTGGGTGGGTGGGTGCGTAAGTGGGTGAGTGAGTGAGTGAGTGCATATATAATTGGTTGTGGTTGTCTATAAAGCGTAACGGCGTGCGAGTTCATCAACATGAGTGTGTGTGTGTGTGCCTGTGTGGCAGCAGTGTGTGGCTTATGAATCCTGAAGACCACAGCAAAGTGGCAACACCACCGACCACTCACACAGTGTGTTCTTCCATGCTCATGTGCCAGTCTTCCTTTCCGACCTAGGCTGATGGTCTGCGGAGTGCAGTGCGAATACGCTTGGTGTTGAAAAGGAGCGATGCTTCCGCAGCGACCGGGAGAATGGGAAGGCTTGAGAGCAAATGAGTGCTGCATGTGGCGATCTTGCGGCGTCCGGCGAATGTTGGGATCGCAGAGGGCGGGGCTTTGGAGTCTAAGGCAGACCCCTTCATCAGAGAATCGAGGCCGCGATCTCAGTTGCGCCGAAAGGATGCCAGAGCGTTGTGGTGGAGGGCTCCTGATATTGCGTTCCCTCTGGATTTGCGGTTTTTGCAAATTGGAGTGAGCTTCGATCTAGGCAGGTCGTGTGTAAAAGGGCAACTTCGTGAACCCTCCCGTAGCGCGAGAGAATCCAACACGCTATAGCGTTGCATCGCTTTGTCATGGATTGCTTTGGTTCGGTTCGGATTGGTGGCCTGGGCGGTATTTGTCGTTCCGTTGGTGCAAAGCATGCAATCAATTCTTCTGACGGAAAATGCCCCGAAATAAATGTCTATGTGCTCAATCGTGCCAGGTCCCCTTTTTTTTACACCCAGCACAGCTCCACGCCCCTCCCTGCAATCATAGTGACCGGGGTCCACGCCGAAAGGGGCCCCACTTTTTTGCAACTTTCATCGGGGGAACGCGGCTGCCAAGGCTTCACGGCTCGGCCAAGCCATGACAAGCTGCCAACCTCACCGGTGGCCCTTGCGTTGGTTGGTGGGTCAGTCGGTTTCCCGCCACGGCGGCCGTGGCTTGGAAAAGGCGCACCCTGGTTCAAAGTTCGCGTTGGGGATATCCCAAAGCATCGAAGCCAGCAAATTTGACTTTTGTCCAGGTTGCGTGTTCAGTTGGAGGTCCAAGTCTAAGCGGTTGAGGGAGTGGCACCTTGCATTCTGGAGTGAAAGAACCCACCTTCCAAGCTAGCCACCAAGTGCCAATTGGGCAGCAACGTTGCGACTTGTTTTGGGCTAACAGGGCAGAACAGGTGAAGCGACTTGCTTTTCCATCCACCTGTTCCAAGAGGAGCGACCTTGCAAGGAGTTTTGCCATCGAGCTGGTTGTCGTTCGCCCTTGTTTGGCCGAAGAGTTGGTTGGGGACAGCATGGGATGCCAGACTTGGCCACTGAGCTGAGGAAACTCGGTCATGAGCTTTATTTTGTGAGTTAGTTCCGACGGGCACGAATGGTGAGGATTTGCATAATGAAGGCCACTAAACATGTCTTTCCAACATGTGAAGCTCAGCCGGGGGTGCCGTTTCAGTCCAGGCCCTCCGGGCCCAGTGAGCCACGTGGGTTGCAACTTCTCTGCACGAGTTGCGACCAGGTAAGAATCAAAGCGCACATCCACCTTGTCAGGCCCCTTCTAGATGCTTCTGGTTTTGGAGCGCTTTCCGCAACAGTCCTGACCTGACACTTGCCAGGTCTGGCAATACTCGCCCGCTCAGAAGGCATTGTCTGCCAGCTCGCCGTACAACTCCCAGTACTCCGCGCCTTGGTCGCAGGCCGAGCCTCGAAGATGACCAAACCTTAAGGCCTTATAGGCGCTAACTTATAGAAGACTGTTTTGGTTCCCTTTGGTTTTCCTTTTGAGGGTTGCCATTATTATGCCATTCTACCCTTGTGCCAGTTTCCTTGGGCAAGCCTGTCGTTGGCTCCGGATCGCCCCAGACTTCGACCGCTTAGAATCATCGAATGTTCCGTTGAAGCTCCAAAGGGTTGATTAAATCATTCGCCCGTGGAGCAGACCCAGTCCACTTGAAATGGGGCACGCCCTTTCAGGATTGATATTCAATTGAAGAAGGGTAGCTCCACAACCAAACGGGGATTCCCAAGCACCGGGGAGCGTGTCCCGCGAAGCAAGGATACGTTGACGAAACTGCAAAGCTTTGGACATCCGGTGCTGGGAGCCAATGTGCGTGATGCGATGCCCGAGCAGATCCGCTGCATGCCTTCCGTTTGAGGTTGTAGCATATGACACTCGATTGCATTGTGACAGCTGGCTGGAGGGATGCGAAACGGGCAAACAAGCAAATAGTCGGTTTCCGACTAGTACACAATGTTGAATTTTCTTAAAGCAATCCAACGATGAACAGAACAAAGTGATTGTTGCAAGACCCCACCCTCTTCCTAACATTCATGATGACAGGAAGGTTTTGAAGGCCAGACAATCCTCTTGAAAGGCCGGCAGCGGTACCATGAGTTGTTGTCCACAGGGTAGGGCCTTGATCCGGCCCAGGATGGGTACAAGTTTCATGATTCTCACAGCCTCATCTTCTCATCTTGCTGATGCTCAGGGTATCACCTTCACCGGGTTTTGGGACTGAACCTAGGAATTTATTCAAAGGAAACCACAGGAATAATGATTCACCTCGCACCCACGAACCTGTGGATTCCCCTAAGGGAAGCCACAGGAAGATGATTTCCATCGGGGTCATTGAGCCACCGCTGGGAGGTCACGGTGCGTCAGTACTCCTCCACCTCGGTGCAGCTTCCAGCGCCGCAGGCGGGGGGGTCCTCTGGGGGGTCCGGGGGACCGAAAGGCCGCCCCCCCTTGTTTTGTCTTTTTCTCGGTGCGTGTTTCAAAACGGTCACCGGTTGGGTTCCTGAGGGGTGGTGGTTTTTTTAAGGGGGGGACGGAGGGTTGGGTTCAATAGGGTGATTGTTTTTTTACAGGGGAAATAGAGGGAACCCCCAAATATGATTCAAATGAGGCCAGTTAAGCTTTGGGGAAAGGGAAGGACACGGGTTCTTCTGCTTGTTCTTTCAAACTATGTGGAATTTGTGGCCATGAAAAGCGGTGTCCAACTCAAGCGGTGTCAGGTAAAGCTGTGAATTGAAATGAAGCGCGTGAGCCAAAGCCTTATGCTAATTTCCAGGAAGCACATTGCCCTTCATGGCCGCAGAGCCTTTGTTCCAACAGTGCAATGTTTGGCTGGAACATGTAATGACCCCTTTTGCTTAGGGACCCCAAGGTTTGACGCAATGAGTGGACTTATGATCCCATGTTTGATGGTTTCTGGGTTTCTTGCGTTGAGTAGACAACCCAGGGTTTTTTTCTTGGACATCACGTACAAACGTCCAAGACTGCCTTTCTTTCCATGGCTGGAGGTCTGGGGTGTTACCCGCCCTTCCGCTCAGGGCGTGCCCTGCTCCCCTGCGCCGCGGCGCTCCCACCCCCCGGTGATCGTGTGCCATGGCGGCAAGTTGGCCGCGGAGTTGGTTGGGAGGTTTGGTCGAAGGGAGGCGTCAAGCCCTGGGCCCTGGGGCTTGTTGGGGGACATGGTTCCCGTACCTGAATCAGTTGAAGGGTCTCAGGGGCCACGGAGTCCGATCCAGACTTTCTGAAGTTTATGGAACAGAGTGCAGGCAAGCTTTTGTTTGGGTCCATGTTAGTGAGATGGGTTTTTTCTGTTTTCAATAGGGGGCAAGCCCTTTGGCTTGCAATGGAAAACAAAGGGACAAGGGGTGGTTCCTGCAACAGGTGGCATGAAGATTCGTTCTTGTTTCGCTTGCCGAATGCTGGCTGTCGTTTTGAAACTCGGTTTGGGGTGACTTCGTGCCGCTTAAATTTGCAGGGCAACATGTTAGGTAGACGGAGTGTTGGGCCGGAGCGGGCCGAGCACCGCACAAATGCGTGGAGAGAATGACGGCAAACCAATGTTCACTTACTCCGGGTCCTGACCCGCAGTACGATGCGCTGGCAGGCGCAGCACGTGTCAGCCGCGACTTTTTCAAGGCAATCCTTTTGTCCTATGAAGGCTTTGACGGTGAACAGCCCCTGCAGGCATTGAAGATTAGACGTATCCCACTGCACCTTCCAGTTGCTGAGTACTCTGTTTTGGGCCGCGTTTGAACAGCTCCGGGTTTGGAGCGCAAGTTCCTCTGAAGTGACCAACGCTCACGGCCGAAATTGGCTGAGGCCAGTGGAGCCTTTGCCGCCGAAGCTGGGCGAGCGGAAGGTATCTCAGGAGAGCGGGCAGATGAGGTTTTACCTTTTTTGGGCTTAGGGATCAGTAATCATAATAATAAGGAGCAACATGGGACAAACAGTAGGCCCCACCAGACAGGTTCTCAGAAGCCTTCGACCAGAACCCCTTCCAAGAGGTTCTGGACCTGTGGGTGGAGCACCCGCTGATGCAGCGGCCGCCTCCGGAAGGGCGGCGGTCCATCCCGGTGCAGGCGGGAGTCGGGACATTTTGATGCGTTCGAGGCGCAGACCCCAGTGCCGGTGTGCCCTGCAAAATCAAGCGCAGAACAGTTTGCTCAAGTTTCCCACGAATCCCTGCGCTGAGGAGGGCGCTGGAATTCCGTAGTTGTATTGTCCCCCCTAATTTTGCTGGTGCGGGATGGATCATGCTGCGTGGCTCCACAAAGGAGACATGTTAGACAAAGTCGAAAAACGATTTACTGTGGTTGGTGAGTTTGTGAACCAGCAGTTTTTGAGGTGTAATCTCTTCCAGTTTCGCACGAAACCCTGATTTCGCTCATTTTGGCAGGGGCAGTCTGCAGTTGTTTTTGAGTGTCAGTTGCAGGTTTCAGGTGCTCCTGCCACACTCCAAACACCCCCAAGGGGTCAGACCTATCTGGCAGGAGAAGCCAGAGCTCAAGCAGAGAGCCAGCGCGGCGCTGTAGCAAAGGGGAAATCCCTCTAACCCCCCACCCCGCTTCACTGGTCTGCTCCCAAAAAGAAATGCTCGGGCCTTGCTAAAATCTTATTTTGTCGAAACAGGTGAGGGGGAGACACAAGATTGAATCCCATGAAGTTTGGGTGTCGGACGTGCCAGTGCAAAGGTGCAACCAACCGATCTGTTGCTTGGGATCTTTGCCTTTATATTTTGCTTCCGGGAATGACTCGCCAGTTGCAGCTCCCTTGAGAGTCTCGCCTTTTTTCGACTTAAACACTTGGCTGAGGCCGGGCGGAGATGCAGGAAAGCCAGGGCCCCAATGAGAGGACTGTCGATGGGCATTTCGGCACAGACTTGAACGAATATGTTTCGAGTTTTGAGGGCTCATGACATATCCCGCCAAAGTCTAGCCTTTAGCACAGGATCAATGAATCTCTCAGCACTCTTGGCTGCCTGTCTTGTTCCGCCAGGGCAGGACACCCAGAGTCTCCTTTCGAGCTTTTGGTTGCATTGCAACTAGTCAACCCGCATTTCCTACAAGGTTCACTGGGTGCTACCGGAATATGACTTTTTGACGCTCTTTCTCCAATTTGGGCGTGTCCTAAGCCAAGACCCTCCCAAAATGCTTGGGCTGCTTGTGGCCCACCGCAAATCCAACATGGGTTCCCTAATCCCTGATGTGAAGCACCCACCTTGCCCAAGCCACGTTTAAGAATGTGATTGTCTGACATGAGAAAGCTTTGATCCCACTCCAACTCAGAGAAGTGTGAATCTGCTCTTTTCCTGAATCGGTGCCAGGCTACGTGCAGACCACGCCAGAGAAGAAGGCAGGGAGTAGCGCTTGAAGGCTTCTTTAATCACATCAGCATAGTAGCAGAGTGCATCCATGGATCCACTTGGCCTTGCACCAAGTGTCAACCACTTTGACAGACATGTGTATGCAGGCACATAAGCATGTTCATGCAAGCAATCAAGGCAATACGTCAAGATGGATGTAGATTGCCATAGTTGTCAGTCACTCTTTGGTAGGAGGTCGCGTGCATGGTGCTTACAGGTCTATATTTGCATTCGCTGTCAGCCCTTCCGCCGAAGACAAAGCAAACCAAGTGACAAGGGCCGAATCACATGGGTTTGTCTCTTTGAGCGACCCCTCGGGGGTCTGGGAAATCAAACGTCGGGTACTCCCGCTTTGGAGACGCCTAAGCGCCTTTCTCATCGACTTGGGGCCAGGATATTCCATGCTTTTGCTGACGCTCTCACGTACGCTTCATTGATTGAGCTCAAGCATGTCGTGTTTTATGCCGAATGTCAAAATAAGGGGCACAGCACAGATTGCGGGTCTGCTTGAGGTTCCAAACTCAAAAGGGGACTTCCTCCAAACACACACGCACACAGACACACAGTTGGAAAGGTGACGCACGGCCGCTTGGAAGTATCTGCACGTCGCAGGTTCCAGAAGAGCCGGTGACAGTGATGGAGGCGGGACCAAAGGGTCGGACGGTGCAATTTCTAACGAGGAGATTTTGTCCACGATGCCCGGAAGGTGAAATGGTTCTGAAGAGGCACCAACGCAGTAACTACTGTAGTCCTTCCAAAAGGCAGAGAGGCCTCGGATGCGGACTTATCATGGGCTGCCAAGAGCAGTTTTTTGTCGGCCCCCTTTTGGAACCCTGGTGTCATGTTGTATGTTGTGTGGCGTTTTCTGGGAGTTGCGCAAACATGTCAGCTTGATCTCACAACTGGTTCAATACTTGCATTTGGCCACCTGTATCCACCTATAAGTCAATTTCGTTGTATTCGGGGGTTACATCATTACAATCAGGTGTTACACCAAATGGCTATAGGGAGCATCATGTGTCACGCTTCGAGGATTAAACAGGGGAACGAGTATCACAACGGGGTCAAGGGTGAGAGGATGAGGGGGTGCGGGGGCGATGGTTTTGGTGGGGGGCCGGGGACGACGGTTTTGGTGGGGGGCCGGGGACGACGGTTTCGCAAAACCACCACGTCCCTTTGAAAGAGTCAAAAAACACAACCACTAACATTCCGGTGAAAAAGCCACGATTACCTAATATGGGTCACCCTCGGCTTCCCTCAAACCGCGATCCCGTAAGGGCGACTGTTTCGCAAAACCACCACCCCCAACCCCCGGCTTCCTCAAAGGAATATACCCCTGTACTTCCCCAACCCCTGGCTACCAAGTAAGAAATTCCACCAGCAAAAAGGAAATTCCCCCAGAAACTAATCTAGTCTGACTGAGAGAAACCGCAGCACCCATTAACTTTGCGACCTTCCACAAGTTGTTTGGGGGCTGCCCTGAGGACGACGGTCCTGCCAAACCCTCACCCCCAGCAGTCTCAGGTTTCAGAAAGTATAGGGCGATTCATACAACTAGCAAGTCGGTGATGCGCTGCAACATAGTCCGCGTTTCAAGGCCCGATGAACCGGCCGAGGGCAGACATTGACTTGTCACATCTTCTGAACTTGAAGCTGCAACAGACCGTCAGGGAGTAAAATAACTCCAAGAACTTGACTAAATGCAAATGTTGGGCGCAAGCCTCTTCTCTGCCATAGACCAATCCCCCCCCTTGACGCTGAAGTGGCAGCAGTTCTATCGCTGCTAGGCCCATGACACCCGAATGGAATGTTATGGCACCTGAATGCAACGAAATAGCCTTCTATCATAAAGTTCATTGTTTTCAGAGCTCGGCAAGTGGCTTGAAGCCATACGGCCTTCCTAGATGAGAATTTCTCACTCGGATAGTTCTTTTCAGATCAGGCATTGCAAAAACGACCTTTGGCTCATGTGGCTGTGTTTTCTTGGGCCGACAATGTATTGTGTTGATTCAGGCTTTCTTTTGAGATCAGGGACCTTGCCCAAATATTGTGTCAATGTGCATCGTGACTCCCCACACCCCCCGTCAAGGGGCAAGCCGCGTAGGTGACGCCATGCTCCACCATGGCCACGATGAAGGCACAAGATTCGGGCAAATTGTAGAGACCTCACCTAGGGTTTTGGTTTGCGAGCTCAGCGTTCCTTCGTTCGTGAACCCGTTCTTCAGATTGGCGTATATATGCAAGTATATATATAATATATGTATGCACATACTGTTTCACTGAAGCAATCGATCTTGTCCAGGGATTGGACGCGCAAAGGCACATTGCGCAGCCTTTACCCGCTTTTTGATATAGAAACTCTTCAAGATGATGTCAGTCTTCAAGATGATGTCATTGTTCCAAGACCGTTCTGTCCGCGGAGTACCAAACAGTGGTTTCGATATTCTTTTCGAACATGTTCGAACAAGAGTTGTTTAACCTTGCGGCAAAGGCAGAGGACATGCATTTTGGTTTGACTGGGTAGCTGGAGTCCACAGGGCGAGCTTTTTACTAGTAGATCGAACATTGCGAACATTGCTGGCCAAAGGGATGCTTGAACCAAGCTCATTCGAGTTGGACCTTCAATCAATCCCCACACCCCCTCATTCCTGCGCTTTAGGTTTAGTGTTCGTTTCGGGAAAACTTTTCTGCCCACACAGGGAGCGAGATCCTTACTTCCCGGCACAGCCACAGAGTACAAGGGCATTCCCTTTTCAGGGGCATTCCAAAATGGGTACTCTGACCGTGACATGAGTCAGTTGCCTGCAGATGCGAGCTTGCTTACGGATCCAGGCTGAAGGTGCTCCGGCCAGACTCTTTGGCACAATCTGACCCTTTGTTGGTTCTTTTCATGGATGTTTAGCAGAGCAAACCCAGCATGCCACGACTTGACTTTACCCGTTTGTTTACGGCGTGTTCGTCGCTCCCAAGCACATCGCCGAAACTTGTTGGACATCTCCCCCGCGACGGTTTTGAAATTCTGAATGTTTACTTTGGATTCATCGGGGCCGTTATGTATATATAAATATAGCCAGATGCGTCCCTTCATATTAACTAGTTTCCCAACTGCAAAGGCATGCAGGTCCAGTCACCGAGGATCCTCACTGTCCTTGGCATTGCGTCTTTTTGACTTGAGTCGGTTGCCTTTTAATTCTGTGTTTCTATTGGGTTGGGGTGGGGGGGGTGGAGGGGCCCTTTTCGTTGATGTTGAAAAGGAATTTCCATTTGGATATGTTCCCCAGATACCGACTTGACTTGACACTTTCCATGTTCTTCGGTTTTGCAACCGGCATGTGACTGTTTGTTCATTTCCCCCGTAGGGCAGGAATCAGATGAACCCCCCTTTCCAACAGTCATGAAAATGCTGCAGGCTTTTTTCAAGAGGGCCGTAGTTTTCGGAAGCTCTTCTTTCAGCTTCCATGCTTGCCGGAAACTGGGTCAGCGTTTGGGACAGTCACAAGTTATGAACAAAGAAGCTATGTCAATCCTAGGTGCAGGGTTGAGCGTGACCAATTGGAAAGGGGTAATTCTCATTTTTCTAGACCCCCGATTGTTCCAGACACCCAGCTAGCGTTCCAGGCCATCCCTGCAGCATCGTCGGCGGAGGTTTCCGCAGATGCGGAGGCTGGGCTGAGAGGCTGAGCGGGGCAGCTACAAGCCAAAGGACTTGTCAGTACTCCAACATTGAACAGACCTCCCTCGGGTTTCTAGAGGTGGTTTCTCCCCAACTGCCACAAAGAGTTGGCGGTCGCTTTTGTTCGGTGTTGTTCTATTTGATTTCAACTGCCAAACGCAGACCCCAAAACATAAAAGCAGGGCTTTGCGCTTCATTTTCTCTGACGGGAGAAGTTTGAGTAGAAGGAGCCTTTTGGCCACTTGCATCTAATCATACACAAGTGCAGTCGTAGGCTCCGTGCGTCCGGGCACGCTCACACACACAATCACACAATCACACAATCACAGAATCACACACACACACACACACTCACACACACCCACACACTCACACACCCACACACCCACACACCCACACGCCCACACACCCACACCCACACACCCACACACTCACACACCCACACACCCACACATCCACACACCCACAAACCCACACACCCACAAACCCACACATGCACACACGCACACGCGCACACACGCGCACACGCACACCCACCCACCCACCCACCCACCCACGCACACCCGCACACACGCACACACGCACACGCGCAAACAAGCACACCCACACACACACACACCCACACGCACACGCACACACGCACACGCAGACGCACACGCACACGCACACGCACACGCGCACGCACACGCGGACGCGCACGCGCACGCGCACGCGCAGGCACACGCGCACGCGCACGCGCACGCCCACGCCCACGCCCACGCACACGCACACCCACACCCACACCCACACCCACACACAACACACACACACACGCACACGCACCCACGCACCCACGCACCCACGCACCCACGCACCCACGCACACGCACACGCACACGCACACGCACACGCACACGCACACGCACACGCACACGCACACGCACACGCACACGCACACGCACACGCACACGCACACGCACACGCACACGCACACGCACACGCACACGCCACACACCCACCCACCCACCCACCCACCCACCCACCCACCCACCCACCCACCCACCCACCCACCCACCCACCCACCCACCCACCCACCCACCCACCCACCCACCCACCCACCCACCCACCCACCCACCCACCCACCCACCCACCCACCCACACACGCGCACACCCACACCCACACCCACACGCACGCACACACGCACGCACACACGCTCGCACGCGCACCCACACACACGCACACACACACACGCGCACACGCACACACGCACACACGCACACATACACGCATGCACACATACACACATACACACACATGCACATACACATGCACATACACATACACATACGCAATTTACTTGGAGCTGCAACTGGGGTGTTTTGCTGCTCTTTGTCTTTTTCTTTCTCTCTCTCTCTCTCTCTCTCTCTCTCTCAAACGCACATTTTCCCAAGGATGCCCAAGGCGAATAAACAGGATGTGACATTTTGGTTTTCACACGGGTCCCTGCTCAGTAGACAGTTGTTTATTTCCGTTTGGCCGTGCTGTATGCAACAGGACTGGTTTAGATCCAGCTCTGCCTTCTGAGCAATGCGGCTTTTTCATCCCCGTGCACAGGTTCTGGGGACACCACTTTTGCCGACGTCTCTGAGCTTTGGCCACGAGGAGACTTCGCTGTGGGTGCCTGGGGTCCTGTTTCATATTGGCCGCAGGGGTCCACAATGCGCGCCGTGGTCTCTCCCTGATTATTTGTGGGAGGTTCCCCCTAACAAAAAGCAAGCAAAGCAGGAAGCAACCGAGCAAGCACGCAACCAACATGATTCGTCCAAGTGCGGGGGCCAGTTCCTTTACCGTTGTGTGTTGCTCGTTAGGAGACACCGGCGCCGCCCAACGAGGCTTGGGGTCGCCTCTCGTGAGAAATTTGGAGCACATTCGAATTTCAATTTAGTGATGTTGTGTAAGAGAGACGCTGTTGCATAATTATAAATTCCACGTTTGCTGCCCTCATTGGCATCAGCGTTTGCCAATCGTGAATATACTGAGTGAAACCGGAAATCTAAGGTGTCATGTTAGCATGTAGGAGGCTGGAAACCCAAGACCAAGTCAACAGTTCTGCCCTTCCCCGTCATTTGACTCGACCTGCCAGGCCGTTACAACGCCTGTGGCCCAGGACGTGGTGGGTGTCACCTTGTCCTCTTTGAGTGGGTTCCGCCCTGTTTCCTTTTTTTTGGTTCGAAAGATGCTGAACCCAAAAAAGGGCTGCATGTATTTTTCCAATTTAAATCACACAAATCACTCTGGAAGGAAGCACCCCATAAAAGATTGGTTGCTCCTAACTCCCAGTTGCTGGAAGGTCGCTTGTTCCCGGTCGAGGATTGTGGATTCGGGTTTTGCACACATACCACTGCGTAGCGAAGGCGTTTATTTAAGCATGGCGGTTGCTCAAGGTTCTTTGGGAGTCCCAGCAGCTCCGGTTGTGCATGAATGGCGCCCTAGGGGGGTCCCTTTGGACAAAATGATGGGAAACGATGAGAACCAAACTGACACCACTGACAGTGATATGTTGTTTTTTGAACTGAGCAAGGCCGCCGATAGCTTGTGCCAGTCACGACATTCGGCTGTCTTGCTTCCTGACAGGAGCCGACGGTGAGCGAGGCCTGCGGGTATTTTTGGTCTCAATGGTTCAGCGCTTTATGGCTGGCTGCCTGCTTGGGCGATTCTTCGGCCCTGCACAGTGCCATGAAGACCAAGCCATCATCTCAAGAGTTGCCTTTTGGGCCCTTTTGAAACACCTGACTTTGTCGGGGTGCTTTTGGTTGGCAGTTTTATACTTGTTTGGTGGGGCAGGGCATTGCACATGCTATCAAAAAGTAAAGGGGCATATGGCTCTCAGGTCACTGACAAATATTGACAGTACTTCGTGAAACTTCTCACTGTGGAACCTGCGTTCTTGGCAGGCTGCCTGCCCAGAACCGCAACAAGAGCCTGCAGCAGTCACTTCCACTGCGGAAACGCCGCAGGAGGCGGCACATGAATCAGCGCAGGCGCGGCACAAGAAACTTTAGCCCGTTTGCTGTTGGAGGATTGAATGGCAAAGAGAAGATTGCTGAAGTACGTCCGTGAACCATGAGCATACGCAGATGAATGCATTTGTTCCGAGCCCCTTGGACAACCGCTCACCTGACTCCCAAGCCTCCTGCCGTGCTCGCGGTGTTTTCCTGCCCGCCCTTCATAGGGCAAGCGGGGCCTAGGGCCAGACGCAAAGCAAGAAGAATGGTGACCTTTGATATTCCACTAGTCGCAGCCCATTTGCATGGGGAAACCTGACAAATGGAACAGAGGGGCCTGAACCCCACTTGCTTTCTTCCCCTCATGCCATGGAGCAATTTCCTTTGTCATAGGACAAATGAAGGACCCCGGTAGGTGCTTGCTTTTGTGTTTTTGGCGGTCTGACCTAGGTGAACACTATTCAACACGGAAGGACAGCAGTTTTGCGACAGGCTCAAATTTCATGGCCCCCAAAACTGGTTGCCCCTTTTGCTTCCTGCTCTTCACCATGGGGAGGGCAACAGCGCCCATCTGCTCTTGTTGTTCAGGAATCGGAAAAGCGATCCGGTGAGGCGCTGCGGGCCGCAGTGCAGAAGGCTGAGCTCGAAGCCTTGCGCCTGGCGCTGGAGCAGGCGGGGTCTCGGAGTCTCGGAGTCCGAGCCCTGCGGCTGTTTGGTTGAGGCCGTGCCCTTTCTGGGTTGGATGTGCCTGGGAAAGCGCAAGGAAACCAGTTAGGGGGTTTGAGCCTGTGCCTGGGAAACCCCTGCCTGGCATTTTGATAGTTTGGGGGGTTTGAGCCAAATCCAATACGTTTTAATTTGGGAAGCGCCCCATACCGAAAGATGGGGGATGATGGGGGGAACCCTGGTTTTACCACCCACTTTTTTAGACTTTGCTTCCACAACTTGGTTAACATAGACAGTGACAGATTGGGAGCTGAAAAAAAGGTCCGGGTTTGGCACAAGCGCCCCTAAGAGCATGTAAGAACCCTCCAGGCGCTCAAGGGCGATCCCGAAATTGCTGGGGAGAGTTGTTTTGAATTTACCTGCAGCGAAGCTGCAAAGGAATTTAATGATGATGCATTTCCCAGAACTACTCAACACCCATTCTCAGAAGTCCAAGTGTTGCACAACTGAGCGCTGTTCCATCCGGGGCTCAGTTAGAAGCTACGCCGCCCAGTTGCTTTCTCTTGCCATGGCACCCCACAAAAGAAGCATGCATTTCTCCCGGTCTTGCGGTTTGCAAGTGTGGCGCGGAGGGTTCCCATTCTTTCGAAAAGCTAGTCAATAACCCTGGTTTTTTGCGTTGTTTTTTTTTTATCTTTTCTTTCTCCCTTTTTTCCCCCCGGAACGAAGCAGCCCTGAAAATAATGCCGAAGTTGCCCTAGGTATGGGTGTTTCTCAACTTAATTTATAGTCACCCAAAATTGATGATTTCCGTTTGTCCCTTCAAAACCCACTTGTTTGCTGGACACATGGCGGTGCCTTTGCGCGGACTAACGGTCAGGCGGTCCTCGCTGGAACCAGCTGGGAGCTGATTGAGCCAGAGCCCAAGCAGCATCACATGAAGAGCGCGAAGAGCCACGCAGTGAGGTGATGAATAGCCCAAAATGCATGATTTCCCTGTAAGGAAGCCAGCAAGGGATGAGATTGTTTTCAGTTTCCTGGCACCATATTAGAACTCCATTCAAAGCTGGCTGAAAATCAGCCATGGTTCTTGATTTGCATGAATATGGAAGCCACGAGGGCATCGATAATATTTTAAAACGATATCACCAGCTCTTTGATCTCCCTGACACGCAGAAGGCAACTACAAGTTCATGGCAGTGCGGTCATTCCACCTGTAAGCTTTCAACAGGCAGGCTTGAGGAATAGATTGGCTTTACGGTGCACGCGAGCCGTCGTGCAACCTGCTCCAAGTCAAAGATGCACCAATGGCACCAGCCTTTTGCTAGAAATGATCCATTTTCGAGGCAAAAGGCTCACCATCCTTTGTCTACCAGGGCCTATGCCCGCAGTCTTTCCACTAGGTGGGCCCACGACAAGTTCCGCGAGATGGAGAACCAGGCACGAAGCGAGCGAACATGCGGCAACGTCTAGTCTCCAAGCAACCCTCGCTTTTTGGTTTCCATGGATTTCTCTCTTGATCCAATTCCCTTGGCAATTCGTGTCCCTGTTTGCTGCAAGCGGGGTGCGTTTGACTAGTGAGTGGTAACTGCCCCCATTCTTTCAAGGGATCCTTCTTGCCAGACAAGGACCTAAAGTCCAAGTGAGCTATAAGGCACCCGCGCAACTCACATTGGCTCCAATGGGCAGTTCACAAGTCAAAAGAGACACCCAAATAGGTGCACCCTGAAATTCAGGTTTTGCTTTGGGCACTGAGGCCTGGAAGCTGCGCATGGAGGGAGCGGCGAGGGCCGCCTTGCAGCAGCTTATGGCCCAAAACGCCCGGGGGCCGAGAGTGGGGGTGGGGCCAGGCGGGGCGGGGCACACACCGAATTCGTGTTTTGGACCATTTCTGGGGAGAATCAGACTGTCAAAGTCAGAAAACGGTTGATGGTTTCCCTTTAATCTGCGCCTTGGGGGGGGAAGCGGTAGGATTTTGATACTGGTAGAATAGCGGGGCCAGCAAAAAGCAATTTGTTTGACACTTTTGGGGTCCGATTGCAACGTTGATGGTATCTAGTTCTGACGCATTTGACAAGCACGTGTGAGGTCATTGCAATAAGGAGGTTGCAGTCCTGCCACATATGGACACACATTCATGTGTTTTAGATCATGTGACAACTGGTTGCCTCTTTCATATTTTTCTTTGGCAGTTGAAGTGCAGTTAACGTCCGATGCATATTATATGATATCATTCAGGATGGTGAATCCAATACTTTTTACTACATTTTTTTGTTTAAAGCATGGTCTTCACTAACTACCTTCGAAAGCTGCAGTACCGCTATTCCAACAGTCACGCATTTATTTGGGTCTTGTTCTATTGTGTACTTATGCGTTTGTGACCTGCTGCTGTTTGCACTGAACGTGGACAGACGCCAATCAATGCATAGGATAGATGGCACAACTCCCCCATGTTGGTTCAGTCTTCCCCTTTCCTCCCACCCAAAAATGGATTTGTGCCATTTACTTTGACCACATTTTTTTCCCGGCCTCGCAGAATTCTCGCAGCATCTTCGGCTCGCAGCGAGTGGGTTCCTTGGTTTCCTCGCACCGGGTGGCAGAGGATGCTTGGGATGCTCGGCAGGAATTTGTTCACCGCACCTCCTTTTTGGTTCTTCCTTTGCTGGAGGCCGAAATGGCCATGGGTCAAAATCCCGTACCCCCAGTGAACATCCCAATCCCCACTAAAATAAACTAAAATGGGTGGTGCACCTACCCCAAAACGGGATCCCATTGGTTTTGACCCACAGCCAAATGAAACGGGCCAAGGATGTCCTACCTGGAGCTGGGCTTGCGGGGCGGCACCTCTTTGCTGGCGCTGCCTGGCGCAGTGACGCTGGCGGGGGCCTTGAAGCTTGTGGACTTCCCAAAGGAGCGGTTTGCGATCCGTTGGCCGTTTCGCTCGAGGATCTGGAGTTACGAGGGAGTTGTTGAAAAGAGGCTGACAGAGGGGGTTTCTATGGGGTTCTACACTTGCGGGGGCCCTCATTCGCGACGCGCGAACCACTCGTTGCCCAGCCGAAAAAAAACGGATTGCTCTTGAATAGAAACACATCTATCAACATTCATTTTCTCAGGAAACCGAAACGGATTGGGAATGGGAGTTTCGCGGGCCCTCTACTACCCTCACCATTTCTTTTCAGAGAAGAGACCTCAACTGTCAACCCAAAGTTTTTTTACACATGTTGAACAAGCCCCTTTCTTCTTCATTGAACACCCCCTTTTGGTTGAAAATGTTGGCCTCTTCTAACCGCTTCTCCCTAATAAAAAACCGCCCCCCCCCCCTCCCAAACAAAAAACACCTGGAGGGAGTTTTCTTATTAGGGGTCGCCGGTTTGGGCCTAGATCGGGAGTAAAGGAATCGTACTCCCGGAGCGAACACACACACTCTGGAGGGGGGACCCCTAATAAGCATATATTGGGAGCTTGATGGAAAGCATGTGTAGTCTCAGGAGTGCAGTATTGGAGTACTATTGGCCAATTTAAATTTAGTATTGCCGATTTTTTGCCGCGGCTCGGGGGAGTTTTATTATTAGGGGTAGGTTGATTAATAGGAAGAAGTGAATACTAGTTCATTGGGCACTTTGTTTTGATTGATTCCCGCTTACCGGCTTCTGGGTTGTCAAGCCCGAGGGAAGGACACCGCTTTGGCAAAACTGGTCGACCAAAGCAAATGCCCAATTAATCCAGTATCAGCAGTGGTCGGCTTGTGAACGACAGAGAAGGAATCTCTAATGACAAAACCTGGTTTTCACCCAAACATTTTTTGTTGTGTGTTATGCAGCTGTTCGCCCACACCAAACGCACACCACACCATACGCACACCACACGCACTCCACACCACGCCACACACACACACACACATGCGCCCGCGCACGCGGCCTCAGCGCGGCGCATGTTTGTGGAAACATGTTTTTAGGCTGCCATGATCTGTGAGTGGCCAAGGGAATGCCCGGTAAACTAACAAAGTAGTAACCTCACTCCTTGGAATCCTGGACTTGTTACTTTTGGGACAACCATTTTAAAGGCATACAGCAAGTCTGGACTTTGGTTGGCTAATTCACTCAGCAAGTGAGTCATAGAGATGGTCCAGTTTGTTTGCACCGAAATTGCAACCACAGCGCTGTAGCTGTGCCCAGGAGATGCACATCGATGTCAAGCTCCACGGCTGAATTTGAATTCGCGCACGGAATGCGCTCGTGCGCTCCTTCATCCGCAACTCCAAAGATTGACGCGCCATTCACCCGTCACTACCTTGACAAACCATCAACATCCCCTTGGGTTGGGCTATTTTCTGTCAAGAAGGCTTCAACTGTACATGAACCCAGGATACACCCGAATCCCACCCCGCCAATCCCCCCAAATCAACACTATACCCACGCTCAGCCATCCCTTACATCGCTAAGAGTCTCCTTCTTTCAGGTACTGTATTACACATTGGGCATGAGGGAAAGACCTGGTAATGGATTTGGGAGCACCTTAACCCCTGTGTTCTCCCTGGAGCAGACGGCGGGTTGGGATAGGGGCGGGAGGGTGCACGGTTCCATTACCGGACTCATCTCACCTTTGCAATTGCCGGTTTGGTTGTTCTTCATCGCTCCTTTCAACCAGCAAAATGGATGCAGCTTTCCGCTAAACGTCCAACTTGCTGGCTTTGAGAGGCTCATTTTGGGGATTGGGGAAAGAAGCTAGAGACCCCCAAGGAAACCACAAGGGACGGTCCACGGTGTCACTCGATCATTCCCTTTACCTCATGGCGACCGATCCGGGGGTAACACGAGCTTGCTATGATGTAGGCGCTCTTGGGGATCCTTACTCTCAGGTTTGGGAATAGAATCTTCAGATCGCATCAAGGCTTCGTTGGTGGAGTGATTTGTCTGGTTAATTCCGTTAACGAACGAGACCTTGCTAGATAGTTGCATGTAACCTCGCTTTCTTGTTTGGGCAACTTCTTGGGACTTGGTGTGTCTAACGCAAGGAAGTTTGGAGGATGGATGGATCCAACGCAAGGATCCATCCGTTTGAGGGCGATCTTTTTCGAGGATGGATGCCATCGGGATTCCGGCTTCCTCCTCTTTGGGCACCTGGATCTTGGCGGCCGTGGGCTTGGGCAAGATCCAGAGCTGAACTTCAGCGCCGTTGTTTTTTTTCTTCGGAAAAGCCTTTGGTTTTTCAGGGCTATGGGGTACAGCTTTACTGGCTTACATGATTGCCCTACGTTTTTTTTCGCTCCAAGGAGTGCTAGGGGTTTTGTGGGGTAGGGGACTGGGCGATGCTGCACTGGCTCCATGATCGCCCAGTTCGAACGATTTTGGCCCTTGTAGTACTTTGTACGGGACTAGGCGATGCTTTACTGGCTTACATGATTGCCCTATGATCGCGTAGCTCGGTTGAATCCCACAACCCATTTTCAACGATGTAGGCTCTAGACTACTTTGTTTGTTTTCTGCAGTCTTTGAGCAGATGTTTTGATCTGTAAAATTAGCCACCCAGCCGTGCGTTTTTGTGACCTCATTTCGTGGAGGGACCTTCTAGGGGACATGGGTTGCCTCTCAGCTTCTCGGGAAAATCCTTGGGCCTATAACGAAGTAGTACCCTTTTCGGACCTGTCAAATTCTTGACAGCTGGGAGAGTTTGATAGCGTTTGTGCAGTCGTGGGAGTGTATGAATATCTGCTTCATTCCCTTTCACTTCCTTCAGTCTCGCAAACACAACCATCAAGCGGTGCACATCCTGGGCTTTGTTATCGGGCAAGTCCTTCATTCGTTGGTGTCCTTCGCCGATAGCTGCCATGTCAGTGTCAACCGTGGGCTAAATCATCATGAATCGTAATCATGGATGACAGCAAATGGCACCCGTGTTCTTTGCAATATACATTGCGGATATCCAATCCGGTTGTCCTGGGCATGTGTTGTGTGGGGCTGAGAGGGTCAACACCAAACAGGGTTGCTCGGGCTTCAGCCTTGGGTAAGTTCCTCGCCCGTGAGGACCAAGGGCCATGGCTCCCCTGTGGAAAATTTCGACTGAGCTGAGGGTCATGGTCGCTGTGAACCACTTGTTCTTGCGCTCCTCGGCCCTGGATGCGCTCTATGCCGTCACCGCGGTCCCAGGCTTTGGCCTCGTCTTCTATGCGCATCGGCACATGGTGCCGCCGGAGCCCTGGGCCAATGAGGCGCAAGGAAGGGAGTGCCTGGGAAGGGTTTTGAAGTATGAAACTACTTGTCATTAGCTGGTTTTGTTGAGCGGGGGGTGTGTGGATGGTTTGAAGGGAAGCTTTTGTTGGTTTTGGTTCCGTCTGCTGTCTATTTGGACGTGTGGGAGGCATATATTTTGCAACCTGCATTTTTGTCTCCAAGGAACCCCCCCCTTCTTTAGAGCCCTTGCGATTGGGAGTCCACCTTCTTCAGGACCTAGGCCTAGGCCGCCTAGCAGTACATCCCAAGCTTTGAAGAAGCCAAGGGGCTTGCTAGACGAGGATGACCTACAGTCTAAAGGCCTCAACCGGGTGCGTTTGGAGGAGGTACCCCGCCCTTGATGTCGACCCCGAAATGATGAATCTGGTGGAAAGCAAAGGATGTTTCCCAAAGAGGTGAATATTCAAAGTATTCGATTGAAACTGGACACCCCCGATCAATCGACCACAGTTTTATTAACCCGCCTTGCCAACCCAGGGTGCTTAAGCCCTTCCTAAAATCTAGCCCCTCAGGTGCCGGTCTTTGTGCTCCCCTTGATGTTCATCGCCATTTGGCTGCTCCCATCGAAGAAAAAGCAGGGCTGAGCGCATCAGCTCGTCCGTTTGAGGGAGTCCCGACAGTCGCAGATAGTCGGCTTGCCGTTCGCTCAGAGTGAATCCGTCCAAGCGGGCCCAACCAAACGTGCATATTGGGTGGGCAGAGGTGTCAAACTCGTTTTCTTGGCAGCGAGCATTAAAGCATCAACATGGTGAGTATCTAAAGCTCGAACCATTTTTGGCGCTTCCGCGCTATTGGTGGGCCCCGCTTGGTAGCAGCCATAGCTGAGCCAAAGGCGCAAGCCTTGGAGGCGTTTCGGCGCAAAGGAGAAGCTGGAACGATTGAGGCATGTAGAGCGACGTACGCGGCGCCAGAAAGACGGTTGCCAGTGCGATGACGACGCAAAGTTTCGCCGGGCTTTTGGCTCCCGATGAAGCCTGGTGGATTGATAGCGGATGTTTTGTCCAAAACTGAAGGGCTCCCTGTGGGTTGCAACGCATCAGAATCAGCCAGTGATATCAATCCTGGGTTGAAACAAACAACATGACCAGTTTCACAGTCACCCACATGGCCCAATGGACCCTACTCGTAGCCATCAGTTGATTGGTCCTGGCTCGGCCTTCGAATTGCTCCAAGTTGAAGGGATGCCCGCCACCGGCGTTTGCCTCCAGGCCTCTGCGGAGACCCTTTCGGACGCCTGCGAGCACGCCTGGCAGGCGCGTCAGAAGAAAGACACAGCCCACACCTTCAACCTGGGGTAGAAGACTAGTAGGGGACAACCCTTACATAGCTTCGGGCGGTACATGGACCTGGCTAAAGTAGTGTCCGAACCATGAAAAGTGTACCCTTTCAGTCCCTCCATTAGATGGTTTTGAAATGTGGGTAACTTGGCCACTTCAGTACTCAGTACCAAGTTTTGATTCTGACTCGAGATGGACCGCATTCCAGATGTGCAACACGATGACAGTGGAACCCAGGATTGATTTGTAGATGCTGCTGCTTTATGGGTTCCATGTCAACCTGCTGGAGTGTACCAAGTTGCTTAGTGGCACCCTCTCAATCCCTTTTTGGTTGGTGGATCTCCCAAGAAAGGCGGGAAACCGGAATCCAATCCTTGATCATCTTCGTGACGAATGCGAATGCGTATGGCAGGTGTGTTGATGTATTGCTAAAAACTTATCCTGGATGCCATGGATACCTGTGCGTCCTGTGAGAGGCGAGTCTGGGCCTCGCCTTTGCATTGACAGGATCGCCTGGGCCCCTCCGAGCATGTGACTGAGCAGACCTCATTTGACGTAGAACGAGCTCCACCATACTGAAGAAAGGCGCTTGTCGCGGGTCAACTGTAGACAACTGCCAACATGAGAGAGCAAGTTCACTTTAGCACATACCTCTACCATAAACACCCCTGAGCTCCGGAGGTCTGGGGACACCCTGACAACCCAATTCAAGTGCCTTCAGCAAGGTCCAGGTTGATGAACCTCGTGCACCGCACTGGCAACATGATACATGGTTGGCCCCAGGCACCTCGCGCAGGATCTCACCAAGTTGCAGCATATTGTTTGGGCAAATTCAATCCAACTTGCCGTAAGAGGGGCTTTCCCTCGATGAAAGTCCCTGCGAGCTCTCGTTTCTGGTTGCGAACTAAGATTTGCCTCCATGTTCTCAGGAAACTGTCTGTCACTCGTTCTTTTCTGGGGTCGATGCGACCTGTTTAGTGCCAAGGCGCAGGAATGTGGCAGGTAGCAATGGCAGCATGCATCGCCAAGCCATGCTGATTTGGTTTGTCGCTGTTAGGTACTCGAATGGCCCGATTCGGCACGGCTGGTACTTGAGAGCATATTTCCGAACTTGCATTACATGCTGGCATGCAAACCTATCCTGGGCTTGCATCAGATGTGTCCGGACAAAACGACGACTTGTTTTGTCTTTTGGTGATGCTTTCGAAAGGGGGAGATGAAACTACCTGACGTCTGCATGACCCTTAAAAAATGGGGTCCTTACCCAAAAACATGGGGTCATGACCCCATTTTTTAAGGGTCATGCCGCGAAACCCCACACGGTTCCCATGGACGTGCCTTTTAGAGCGTGGCAGGCCGGAGTCCAGTGCGACGAGCTGGATGCAGCCCGCGAGGACTGAGCCGGCTTCCGAGCCAGTTGCCACTTTTGGCCTCCAAAAGAGGCAGTTTCAAGGGAAAATCCAGTGATCTTTGTCAAAGCTTGAACTTCCGCCAGTCCATTGAGGAAGTGAGTTGATTCGTTAGGAACCCGTATGCACCAAAGGACGCTCGTAACATCCGAAAGGAATCGCATTTTGTTCGAGCCCAACGGGTCACCCAAGAATTGCGCCCATCGCTCAGAAGCGACGAAATTTAACTTATCTCCACAGGAGATCGGGCGACGGCACTACCAGCAGGCAGCAGAAGAGGTGGGAGACCTCCGAAGGTGCAAGTTCAGTGGGTTTAGGTCAATGTTTCTCCCTTTGGTTTCCATCGAAATCCCTTTGGTGGACATCCCCTTTATCCCCTTTCGTGTGCTGAATACATGTCCCGGTACCGACTGTCTGAATATCCCAGGGCCACCAGGGCTTGACACGTGTTCACGGTTCCCCAGGGGTCTCTCACGCCGCTGGTGCCCAATTCTGGCCTTAAATGTGTTCCTTCATGGGTTGTTTGCTGCGCAAGAGCCTGGATTAGTGGCGGAACGACTGCGCTTTTTAATGGTTGCTCTATGGTTGCTCTATGGTTGTTCTATGGTTGCTCTGCGAGTTGCCTGTCTCGCAAAGCTTTCTACACGTTTCTGGCGATGTTTGAGAGCTGCACGGTTTTAGGCAACCTCCAGGACGCATTCTTTTGAGATGGCCAGCTTCTCAAATGATCCTTGCGGTGTTGGCCATGCGCGCCTTGTGGGAGCCCAAGCGGTTGATCAATAGGCGGGCTGCCCATAGAGAAGTCCTCACTTTTGGACATATTTGTGTTTAGCCACGAAGTTACTCCCGTATTATGCATGGAACCCCCAAAAGTAGTTCCCCCCGAATGAGAGATCTCCACAAAGTAGCAACTTCCAAGTTATTTGCGCAGTTTTCACCCGGGAGTCCGGGAGACCATGTTTCCAGGAAGGAGGTGGAACCATGTGAGCCATCCGAGTGGTTCCTGAAGGGGATCAGATCCGGTTTCCCACCGAACGCAGGCCTTGCTGGCCGCCTTTCAGCGTGGCACTCCCTTGGAGCTTTTCCAGCACGAAGCCCGGGCTGGAAGAGGGGTGCGAGACTGCCTCATGGCTACAAAAGAAGAAACAAAACAAGACAAAAAAGAAAACGAATCAAAAGATTGATGTTTCGTTCCTGGCCACCTATTTAGCACACAGTGTCTGGGTATCCGTGTTGGGTCCGTCTGGCTGAAAGTATTTAGATGGAGTCCACTGGTTTCAGTGCGATTCAAATCATTCGGGCTGTTTGTTGCCAAAATTTGGGAATGTAGCCAATGCCCCGTGGAACTTGTCTAGGTTGGATCCCGCAGAAGAGGGTAACTTCCCGCCATCATGAATCAGTGCGCGTGGGCTCGCCTGAGGCAAGCTTTGCAGCGGGCAGAGCAGGCGGGCGTAGGGAAGCATCAAGAGTCACCCTGTCCTGCGGGCTGTGAGGCGGTGGTTTGTCTCAGACTGCGCGGGCTCACAATGCGGCGGTTTCAAGTCTTGTTCTTTCGCTTTTAACTGAAGCTGAAACTGGGGGTACACTCAAACACCAGACATCCCATTTGCTAAGATCGGCTGCTGAGAGACCATTTGCAGAGAGTATTGGTGCTTTGTTCAGCAACTCTGGGGGAAACATGATGCTTCCTTGGCTTTCACAGACGTTGAAAGGCCCCCTCTACATTCCTTTTTTTTTGTAGGTTCCCCATTAAACATGAACAAGAACCACATAAAGGGTTCCATGTCCGTCTAATGTCTACCTGGGATTAGTAAAGGGGTTTCCTCCCCTCCCCGATTATAGGAGGAGGCACCCGTGTTTAGTATAGCTAGTTTCCTTTAAAGATTGGATTTTAGTTTCCATTTTATATAGTGTTGGTGGACTTAAGTGTCCATTTGCTCTAATATTGCTGAGTTGTCCTTTTGTGATGTAGATGAGCGGCCAGGCAGCAAGACGTTGTTGCACAGGGCCCCCTCAAATTTGGTTGCCTGAAGTACTACCCAGTTTGTGGATTTGATTGTTCGCAATTTTAAACAAGATATATGAGCTCACTTCCTGAGTTGGTGGACTTTAAACTTTTTGGAAAGACCAGTGTAGTGGTAAATAACAAGTTCAAACTTTTTTGGGCCATTATGTGAGAAAACATGAGTTTGGGGAAGCTGAACTTGTTTTTTGGGGAAGCAGGCCCAAATCTGACAACAAATGCCTGAAGCTTCACCAGCACCACCTGGGCTGTCTAATGCATTGTGCTGAGAAGTCACTGTTCAAGTTATATTGGTTTCAGCGGGGGTGACATGTTTTGTTAGCGTGGTTTTTGATAGTGTTTTGCTTGGTTGCCGGGGGGCGGGGGGCTTGTCTTCATTCCCAGTCAATTTTCTCGGGCCACCCACTTGTCTTTGTCTCGGGGTCGATCTGTTAATCCTTGGCGGGCATCAGTATCGCTATCGGCTGTCACTAAGAAACAGGTCATTGGGCGAATGGGCGTTGCATGATCCGCTGATACAAGAATGATTTGTGTGCGCTGAGAACGGCTTCGACGGATGTTTCATGTCCACTGCCAGCTGGCGCCCCTGCAAGTTCAGAGTTGCGCGTCTTTGAAGGCTGTTCTTTCCGTCGGCGTATCGTATGTTTGCATGAAAGCGTCGGCGCCCCGAGCTTGATGCAACAATGGTTTGAACAGCGGCACGAGGTGTTGGGGCCATGAGATTGCAATTACAGCAGCGGCTGAGTGCGGACCGGCAATGCGAAAGGGCTACAGGGGGGGAGGATGTTTATGTTTGATGTAGCGCCGCGTTCGGTTCCGCGTGCTTGGGCGCAACAAATGCGCAGCCCTCGGGGGCATCCTCGCGATTGACAGCATGGAAAGGCCAACGTTTTGTTGCCACAAGGCAGCGCGACAGCTCGGAGAGGAAGCTTTTGTCTCGGCCCGGCTCGTTCATTTCTCGGAACCACCGGTTGGTTTGTGAGCGCACGGCCAACCAGCTGACTTGCTTGGTCTCTGCGCGTTTGTTGGCTGAAGAAAAGCTGCTCCGCAGCTCTTTACTCGCGTCTAAGTTGTATGCTGCCGCAGGTGTAGGACAATATGATTGACAAGTCCATGGGGGCATCTTCTGCCCGAGAAGTTACCAGGTTTGCGCGAGCTCAGACTTGGGGGCTGGTGGCTGACCATGATGCTGGTCCCTTGCAGGTCCGCTTGCTCTTGCTCTTGCGCTTTTTCAGACTTACCCTTTGGCACGTGGCCAAAAGGATGGACAAGTGTTTCCGGGCAAATGAAGCGGTGCTTGTTGCCACAGTCCATGCCCGGTGTGGGTTTGGGGAGTTTGAGACGAGCGTTCCGACTCCGAGCAGCCGACGCAACAGATGCTGCCGCCAGCTTGCCCAGCATCTGGCAATGGCAAGTAGTCTCCCACGCACGCAGAGCTTTGCAAGGCGCACGGTGATATGATGAGTCTCCTGGGGCCTCGGCTTCCATGAGCAAGACTGTGAAACTGGTCGTTAAACCATTGAAACCATTGCGCTCGGCGTTGCAGGTGAAGATGTCCACTGTTCCACAGCCTTTTTTTGACATTTAGGTGCTCATGAGCTTCTACAAAGGCTCGACAACATTGTGTCATTCGTGTGCTTGGTTGTTTACACACGCTACATCCATTGCGAGCATGCGAGTTTGAATTGCACAAGCCAGCCCCCCGCAGAGTCAATTGGCGCCCGGCAATGACTGGCACGGCTGGGTGGGTTCCCCTTTTTGGCAGACTAGCCGCGGCGGAAGGCAGTAAGCAGTCAGTATATAGTGGCTGTCACGCGTGCTTCGGGATAGGCGGCGTTTAGGTTCGTTTGTTGCGCGTGGACTGACTGAAAGTTTTCTGCAGGCTGGTGTTGCCACGGGCCTGCTGAAGCATGCCAACAGCCGGCTGGAGGTGGGGATGGAAGCACATTATATAGATTTATACAGCACGTAGAGTACATAGACCCGCGCCACAGGCCAACGCATCCCCAATCCCAAAGTCATAGATGAAACGGGGACCCTACGTGTTTTTGTTTGTCCAGGGTGGACTCGCTGACAATTTCGCAGGTTTGCCGCTGTTTTGCGAACAGTTTTTGTGCTGACCAAACGTGTCATGGAAGTCCAAACGGTGTGCATGCAGTGTTACGGTGGCCTTGATGTGAACATGTTGAGGGGCCCTCCAAATCAAGCAATGGGTTGTGTGACTAGTTGATTGTCTCGCAAGGATTGGATCAACCCACTTCTCAGTGGACCCTGCGAAGGTTGTGGCTGACAATCATGAGTAGCAGCCTGGAAGTGGTGTTAAAAGCCTTGCAGGCCCAGCAAACCTGCAGCAACACCGAACTCGGCACGGTGTTGTTCAACCATTGAACGCGCTCCGAAGTCCGAGGTGGACATTCCTGAAATGTTATTTAGCTGGAACAGTGTCGTCCGACAGACGCTTACTTTTCTCAGTGCAATTCACCGCGCTTCAATATTCAGTTGTTTCGACATAATGTCACTGTGCCGTGTTGGCAGTATTTACGGTTGTGTTTTGTTAGTTTGTTCTAATATGGCAGCGCGCAACAGTGTTTGCAGCCTGTCTTTTGCAGTGGTCTAGAGGTGTATGATTTTGCGGGGCCCTGACCAGTGTCTCCCGTTATCCACGGACGGGAACTCTTTCGCAAAGGAAAGTCCGTCCAAACAGGGTTTTGCGCGGGAAAGTCCGTGAATTAGAAGTAAAATAAAGAAGAATACCACAAAGTTGAGACCCTTGACCCGCCAATCATTTCCCACCTCCTTCCTTCCTACACCAGCCTCTCCAACAACAAAATGGTGAGATATCATATATCAATAATGAATAACAAGATCTCATTTCTAATCACATATTAGGTCTGGAGATGGAAATGACAAGATTCCCCTTGTTGTTGGAGGGGAAAGGGATGATGAGTGAGAAAGGAATGGCCATCACAGTCCTATGCCATTCCTTTGTCCCATTCATCTCGCTCATTGCCTACGCAAGAAGGGAGTGATAGAGCTTGGACAAGGAACGGTACGGCCAATCTCTCATCAATTCCCAGTACCACTTGTGCATGTTGATCGGCAATGGGAAGTGATGGAGAGATGGAAAGACCTTGAACCGCTCGCAACAGAAAGAAGAAGGCCATTCAAGTTGAGACCCTTGACTCGCCAATTCTCTCCGTCAATGATGGAGAGAATGAGAGTGAGGGGAGTCGATTCTTGACCCATCTCCTTCCTCACCAGCCAAGAAGAGGGAAGTAGCTGGGAGAGAGGAAGAAGATGGACAATGACATTAACTCCAGAGAAAAGAACATGTATAGAGATCGAATGGTTTCCTTCTTCCCCATCCCCAGCTTATGAACTAGACCGCAAAGGATGGATGGCGATAGGAGGATAAAGAGAATGAAAGGAAAGGACAATGAATAATTATTTGTTGTATTATATACTGTTGGTATTATTTCTCACCCATTGTGTTGTTTATCCGGTCCTGCTACTGTTGTCAGATTTGAGGATGTAGGAAGGGGTTCTACCATCAATGTCATGTTTGAATCAAGCGTTTCATGGCTGGGAGATGATCATCTTCCGTCTCCTTCATCTCTCATCACTTTCCCTGAAGTAGACCAACATAGAAAAGGAGTCTCTTCCTTCCATCTCCCCGCTTTTGGTTTAACCAGGACTTGTTCTACTCCCTTTATGTTTGGCGCAATAGTTTCCCCTGGGCTCAGCTGGAAGCGCTGAGAAGTGGCTGGCAGGACTTGCAGTCTTGCGCGTCCGGAGCCCAAGGCCAAGGTGGATGAAAGGCTTCCAACTAGAAATCGAAGCATTAGGCAACAGGAACTGTGGCTTTATCACTGTGAGGTGCTTTTTGGGGGTTAGGGGGTGTCGAATACGCGTATTTGGGCGTATTTTAGAGTGCGTCGGGGATTTCGCTTTCTTCATTCGCTTTTTGTCGCTATATGCACCAGTGCCCATTGCTTGATTTAGATGGACCAGCTTCGCAAGGCTGTTGCGCACACCTCCGATTCTTCACGCTTTGGCCCAAGCCTTGATGTTTGCACAGAGCCGTGGCAGCCACAGTCGCAGCAGCGCATGCAAGTATGCAGAGCACAAATCAGAACTCGAAGATGCATCAAGGGACGATCGCTTGCTGCACCTGAACTGCGAGCCGCGCTTCGCGTGAGCCATGGGAGAGCTGCCTCCAAGCTGACAGATACGGCGGTTTTGGGTGTTGGCTTTTGGCGTGGCTTTTGGCGTGGAACCATCTCTTGAAACAGTTTTGTGTTTTTGTTGCTTCGGTTGCGTGGTTTATGTTGTAGGTGCCTTGGCGTAGCCGGTTTTGTGCTTGCGCTGCTTGTTGTACAGTGGCGGTGGGATTGATGGCGTCAGCTTCGCAGCACTCAATAGACCTGGGCCCCATGAAGACGAACCAGGCTTACCTCGGGCATGTGTTTGGTAAAGCTGAATTAGAGGGCAGGCCCTAAGGATGACAAGTTGTCGCGTGGCTGCTTGTCTGACAAAGGTTCAAACAAGTACGCGAAAGTTTGTACCGCAATTTTGAGGCGTGAAAGATCTGTCGCTATGAGCTGATGAGTTTGCTTGGGATTGATTTGGAGGACCGTCCCAGGAATCTCCCTATGAGTTAGTTCCCCACCAAAAGGGACATGAAATCTGGCGCAGCCGTGCAGAGGTCGACGCCCTCGGAGCCGCTTGACCACCAAACGGGGGGGGGGGGGGGTGAGGCGAAGGAGTGTTAGGTTTGTTTGGTTGCTCGCTGGGTTGCTGGTTCGTTTGTTTCCGTTTTTGTTTGGCGTGTGAAATGTTGTGTTGCTTTTGTTTGTTTGTTTGTTTTTGTGCTGTTTTGTGTGGTTTTGTTTGTGCTGTGTTGTTTGTTTGGGTGTTGTTTTGTGTGGTCTTGTGTATGCTGTTTTTTGTGTTGTTTGTTTGGGTGTTGGTATGCTTTGCTTTGCTTTGCTTCGCGTTGCTTTGCTTTGCTTTGCGTTGCTTCCTGTACTTAGTTTGTTTATGTTTCATTTGAATTCTCGAAGTGTTGGGTTTGTTTGTTGCGTCGTGATTGCTTTCCTTTTCGGACGGTGGCGGGCACTTGGTTTAGTTCAACCATCTTTGTCCGAGTTTTATTCCCAATTGCTGAGACCGAAGCATCAGAAAGCAACACACGCAGACAAACAACCCAACAAGCTATCCGGCACGCTGGGCGACAAATGTGTCTCCTCAAGGAAGGCGTACCAGACCAGCTGTTGCCGACCTTGTTTGGAAGGAGATCTGTCCCCAACTGTTTAGTGACGTGGGTTTGTCTGTGAAAAGTATCAACTCCTTCACCTGGTGTTTGTCAACTTCCACCACGCCGATGTATATTGACATTGGGAGAGAGTTCCATGCAGGTGCCTGCAGGAGATGTGGTTGAGCAATCGCTATACAACGATTGTTGCAGCTGAAAACTGACTAATATTGACAAACAAAGGCGCCTGGAGGACCAGTTGGGACCAGTGACCTTGCCATTGCCCCCCTTGCTGTGGCTTCTGCAATGTAAACAGTAGCCCGAGCTCCACCTGTTTACGCCTATTGCAGCAGGAGCTGACTTGTGAAAACTGGGCGATCCACAACATGTGGATGCCTGACTGGAAAGCTGATCCAATTCCTGGTGTCAATCCCCACCCCTGGCTGGAAGCTCAGCAGGCCCTTTCCATAGACCCATAGACTGGGGTTCCCTGACTGCATGATCTCGCCTTGATCCCTGCCTTAGGCGAGCACCTCTCATCGGCGCTGGCGAGCAGCCCGCTCTGCCCGAGCGAGCTTCGGCTTTTCTGGATTTAAGAAAGCGGGAACCGGCCATCTGAAGGAGCCCTAGTTTGAACACACGGTCAATGATGTTGACACCTGTTGAGACATTGCGCTGCCTGGTGCGGGGCAGGAGCTTTGCAAAAAACATGACAGTCAAGTCCGCCTTTTGGAGTTTTGGGGGCTATGGTTGCTATTTAGCACCCAGCATATGTCCAACCAAGGGCGCTTATCGTCCAAACTAGCCACAGCTGGAACGACCCAGGATTGGGCCAACGCACAACAATATATTAGGCTGGAACGACTTTCTTTTGGTTTCGAAGGGGTCAAGGCCTGGTTGTTTCAGAAAGTTTTCCCCAACCTGAAGGCACCCGTGCCGGTTTTCTTACATTTTGTGGTTTCTGCTTGGTTTGCACCGTGGCTGGTCACAACCTGGGCTTTGGATGGTCGCATGAGTCTTCAAAGCTCTCGTGCATGATTTGACGGGTTCCATAGTGGAGCGGGAGACATCATTGCCTCCGTGCGGGCAGGGTCAGTGGTTTGCATGCCGAGGAGAGGTCTCGGGTGTCTTGTACTCTTTGCTGCGCACGGAGATGGTAGCATCGCTGCAAGCGCCTTGGGCTGCATTTCTTGCACGCCTTGCTTGCATTTTGGGCGTCACATTGCCTTGAATTGTTATTTCCTCCAAAGAGACCAAGCCGCAGTCCTTGCTGCAGTTCTGGCTCGTTGGAAGAATTGTTGAAATTCCTCGTATCTTCCTGCCTGCAGATTAGCACGGAACGCAACATGCCATAATTAGAGGAAACTCTCTTTGGCAGACCCCGGGCTTGGGTTCATTCATGTCATTTGCAGGGATCCCGTGTGGGCAGTTTTATGTGCGATTTTCCTTAATAGTTTGAACTACGAACTGTTTGGAAAGACAGTTTCAGTAGCAAACAGCAAGTTCAGACTTATTCATTTTGGCCAAACCAATCAGCAAGTGAGTTCCCTAGAAACCGTCCCTAAGGCTGTTTCCGTGGTATTGCTATAGCAGGTTTTGATTGTGATGCAGTAGCGCGAGCAGCCCGAACTGGGCTGACTCATCCAAGCTGAGATTCGTTGTTTTCTCCAAACGTTGGAAACAGGGTTTCCCTTGAGACGACCCTTTCGTCTATTTTAGTGGGGATTGGGATGTTCACTGGGGGCCAACCGGGATTTTGACCCATGGCCAAATTTCCCTTGACGCGACCAAACGTGAAAACGGGGAACCGCCCGCACCCCCAAACGGCGCCCGACCGGACGGCCCAGGCGGCCTTGGGTGCCGAGGGCGCGGAGGCGAAGCTGCGCGCCGCCGGCTTTGCCACAGGCCTCAGGCGGAACGCTCCGGGCCGGGGGGGAGGCGGTGGCCTTTTTGTGTCGCGAAAAGGGCCCTTTGGGTGTTGGTTGTCCTGTCCTGTTGTTCTTGTCTTTTTTTGCTTTTTTCCCCCAACAGTTGAAAGCTTTGGGGTCTCAGCCCAGATAGGCTCCGGGGTGGTCCGGGGCGGCCGTGAGGTAAGGTTCCACGAGGGTTGCACCAGGGTTCTACCAGGGTTCTACCAGGGTTCTACCAGAGTTTCACAAGGTTCTACCAGGGCTGCCGGGTCGTGCGAGCATTAAACAGAGCACCGCCTGCTGTTGGGGATATCACCTGAGCTTGTTTTCTTTTATGCGTGGGGTTGAGGGTCTCTTTAGGTGTCGGGTGGTTGGGTAGTTTTGGTGGTTTGGATTCGGGTTTCTTGGATAGTGGTCGGGCGGTTGGGTGTCCCTGAAAGGGGGGCTGCCACTAGACGGGGTGGTAAGTTTTCAGCAAAGTGCGCGTTTTCTTCCCTTAAGAGGGTTGCTCCGCTTGCTTGCCCCCCTGCATGCTGCCCCGTGGGCATTTTTCACACACCGCACCAACCTCTGTCAGATAGGGTTTTGCTTTCCATGCTTTCCTGAAGCACCGTCCGTGTTCCCTGCTTGCGCATAAATATGACTTGTGCTGCTTGGCGGCTCTTTTGAACATGCTGTGAGCCTGAGGGCCATCATTAGGCAGAGTTGGGGCGAACTTGGTTTTCTCAGAACAATGAGACTTGATAATTTACGGTTGTTTGCGCAGGGTACTTGGAAAGCAGGTTATGTGTGAGTATGTCCTTTCAGTGACCAAAATAGGCGGGGGCGGCTGCGTTTGGTCAAGCAGAAGTTTCACGCAGTTGTACACATACAGAAAAGAGGTCAATGCCTTTGTTTGCAAGGGCAAGGCATGCTTGTGATGTTTTGTGTGATGTTTGCCCCAGTGTCAGCAGGCCCCCTGTCTGTTTCACGCAGCACGACTGACACAGGGCACCTCCGTGTTCTCTTCTTTTGCCGTGTCTATGTCTTTCTTGTTTATGATATGTCTCTTTATTTGTTGTTGTTCTTTTTTCTGTCAGAATTTATTTGTGTTTTTCCTCCTTCTCTCTCTCTCTCTTTTTCTTCATTTGTTTTTGTTACCTTCTCGTTGTCTTTCTCTTTCTCTTTGTCATTCCCTATCTCTGTTTCTTCTTTCTTTCCTGCCTGCCTGTCTGTCGGGACAATGCTTCGCGTTGATCTCATCTTTCGCGTCCGCCTTATCTGTGTCTTTCTCTTTTCCTTTTTCCCCATCCATCGTTCATCCGTCTATCTATGTAGCTATTTGTCTACTTATTCATCTTGCTACGTATCCTTGTTTACCGATCTATTTTGCCATCTGCTTGGCTATCTGCCTATCTATCTGTTTCTCTACCCAGTCGCATGTTTATCCATCCATCCATCCATCCATCCATCCATCCATCCATCCATCCATCCATCCATCCATCGATCCATCCATCCATCCATCCATCCATGCATCTATCTTTTGAATGTATGTGTTTAATCTTCCCTATTTGTCCAGCTGTCTATCTATCTGTCTCTCTATCTATCCGTCCGTCCGTCCGTCCGTCCGTCTGTCTGTCTGTC